AAATCCGGAATAATAAAAGTTGAAAGGTCAGCTTATTATATGTAGAGTAATAACATACTAAAATTACAATAATTCAGGGCAATTACATCTGTCTCTCCTAAAATAAACTCTTATTATTTCTGGACGGCTACTTACATATAGGATATATATATATATATATATATATATATATATATATATATATATATATATATATATATATATATATATATATATATACAAAATCTGAAAGAAACCATTATTGTAAGCGACAGGTGGCAAGAATACCCCATCTTGTTTTTCAATGCAGGTGATTCTAAGGGCCGGCGGGTGATAAGCTCTCACGCAGAACTTCATTTGATGTGTTGGACGACGTAGTTCCGCAAAGGAAAAAGATTTGATCGCCTTTCATGAAGACGAAATTGATTTGGCCAGATGCCGAGATCAGTGCAATTCCAAAAAGAGCATTATCTTAGGGACTGCATATGTCCAGTTGCTGTGAATATTCGTCGGCAGGATTCAATTGGATGCCGTCTTCCGTGAGATGAAGACTTGGTTCTACATAGACAAGCTAGGTACGGCTCGTGTCGGAGAATAAGAAATTGACCCTTAAACTAGGAATGTGTGCAATTTTTAACTGAAAATTTATTCTGACATGTTTCGCCACAAAGTATTGGTTATTAAAGACTAGGAAGAAAGGTATTGTCAGTGGTCAGGAATTACTAGGTTTCTGTTGGCAAGCAGAATAAATTTATTAATTGTTATTTGAGAAAGAATAAACTATTCACAAATAGTAATGTCCCGTTTAAATACACACACACACACACACACACACACACACACATATATATATATATATATATATATATATATATATATATATATATATGCCCTGTCTGTCTGTGGATGACAATATATATATATATATATATATATATATATATATATATATATATATACAGTGCATTGCAAAGTATACACCCCTTGGAAACTGGATGTATTTTGTTTATTTTGATAGGAACAATTAATATTTTAAACTCCAATAATTTGTTTTAATAAGCAGATTTATCACACTTATATTTGATAAGGAAAATACATTTGAAAAATTTAAAACTGACAGTCAGAGTCCAAAGACTAAGATACCATGAAACCATGTGGTGAATGATTTTGTAGGCAGTTAAATCAACTAATATAGCAAAATAATAGACTGTCCAAGTTTGTTTGTTATGGTAGAACACACATGTCACTTTTGATTATTCTGGATTGTATACATCAATAATAAATTACGTGATAACACAGTATAATATCTGGTCGTGGGTAGACTTTTGAAAAGCTTTTTTTCTCATAGGATAAAGAACATGTAGGAAACATTTTAATCTAACATGTTGTACTCTATTAAAAGCTTCGTTAGTGACCAAGCTAGAAATTTGTCAGTTCCTATTCATACCCTCTCTCTCTCTCTCTCTCTCTCTATATATATATATATATATATATATATATATATATATATATATATATATATATATATACTACCGGCCAAAAGGTTGGGACCGCACCGATTTTTTTCTCTAAACTTGAATAATGAATCAAGGTTCATGTCTGTAAAAAAATAAATTTGTTTTTCTATGTTTGCATACAATTATGCAAACATTTAAATCAAAATGATCTTTTTTCTGTCAACACTTGCACCGGTGTCTGCATGTCACTGCAGGCAATAATGCACCCCATTTTTTGATATCTGTAATTTTCTAGAAATCTGACGCCAGGTATACCCTTCTGTAGAATTTCCTCTTGGGCTCTTTTTGAAATACTAATCTGTTTAGTTCTTGGCATTTTAACGGTCTTTGAAATTTAATTTCAATCGCACATTAATCTTGATGGAATTGAACCTTCAACAAGAAGTGGAGTTGAAATATTTGTAAATTTCTGCTCTATATTTCAGAAAAAAAACTATCACATTGTAATAAAATTTCCAAACCTTATGCAAATAAATTTATAATGCGTGTAGAAAAATGCGTTTGAATTTCATATAAGGGTATGCATATATACACAACAGGTGATATTATTTATCCAAATAGGCAGAACTAGCATTTTTTATGAAATTAGAGGAACAATTCAGGATAGTCTCAAACTTTTGTTTCAGTAGCGTGTATATATATATATATATATATATATATATATATGAGTTAGTGCAAAAATATTGACGTAATAATGTCGTTTTTGACGTTAAAATTACGTCAAAAACGACATTGTTACGTCATTATGTTTTCACCAACCTAATATATATATATATATATATATATATATATATATATATATATATATACATTTTATTCATACAAAGCTAATGCAAGGTTAATGATTTAAATGAGAACATCCATCTTGCAAACGATTCAAATAGTACACAAAACCTCTAAATCCGTTATGCATGAGTTGATCCTTGTTTATATAAATTTCTGCCGTATTAGTTGTTATTTTTACTACAAGCTTTCGTCTGTTCCTACAGACATCGTCAGATATATAATAGATGTTGTTCTTGGTTTTTCTCTTAGTAATAAGGACATCGAAAATATATGTGTATTGTATCCGAATGCTATTAAAATGAGTTATTGGTTTTAGACCCTGTTTTTAAAGCAACGCTGAGTTTGATTTGAATTTTTTTTTAAATGTCTGCGTCTATACCAATATGGTAATGAACAAATGTTTTTACTGGTAAATTTTTACTTCAAAAGTGGCATGAACTATATTGTTCAATAATTACAGTTCAATATAGTTCATGCCATGGATGTGACCATTTAAATCAGTCCCGTGTAGTTTTTAGTAAAATTTATTTGTAATTGATTATACGTTTATTGTAATATATATATATATATATATATATATATATATATATCAAAATTAAGTAATTCATCGAGTCTAGAAGAAACCTCAACAGAATGCAGAAAGCACTGGACGGCCGTTTCGTCCTATATTTGGGACTCATCAGCAGTGCGCATCCACTACCGAGAATTGAAACCTGGACAATTACGATATCAGGCAAACGAAGAGGTAAGAAATTAGACTCGATACAGCGCCGCTCGTTCACATATTCCGTGGTGGAACTCATCCGAGTTTCCCTTACCCATAAGACTGTGCCCCCACGAGCCACAACTATTATCCCGAAGCCGCCCCATGCATAGCATTAGAAGCCAGTACAAATGATATACAAGTAATATTAATTATTATCACTTGCATATCATTGCTTGAACCGGCCGTCCAGTGCTTTCTGGATTCTGTTGAGGTTTCTTCTAGACTCGAT